GGGTGCTTGTCCCATTCCGGCCTGCCCGGCACTTACTATGAAACAGGGTCAGGGTGCTCTGCAGAAGAGCATTGTCAGAGCAGGGTGCTTGTCCCACTTCACTCCACCAGGTGTCTCTAGCAGGAAGCAAAACAAGCACTCATGCATCTGGTGGAGCAGAGAGTGACATGCATCCTTAGGAAACACAGACACTCCTCCTTAGAAGAAGGCATTATTAGACTGCTTGTTGCTGCTGAGATGTAGATGCAGATAAAAATAAAAGGCAGAGAGAGGACTGTGGATCAGATGTGCGTTGTTTCCTGCGCATGTGGATTGAATGTGGAACCACATTTTTATAGCCACACGGGGTTCTATTGAGGGTTTACTTCCCCTAGGGACTCTAACCTCCAGTATATTGCTATTTCAATATCTGTACATTAACTATTCTAAAATTTCAATTATATATATATAGTGAAAACATTTTCATGAGCCAGCACTCTATTGGGAGTATATATGAATAAGAGGCTGAAGAAAAAAACATTACAAATTTTTAGTGTATTCAATATACTACTGGAAGGAAGGAAGGAAGGCAAGGAAAGAATATGAATAAGGGTACACAAAATGCAAGTAAATGGAAACCAAAATTCCAAAGTAGCAAAGAAGCAAGATTTTTGCATGGGAAAGAATTAAAAGATACTGCGAGAGGGCGGAGGGAAAGTTGAGATTGAAACACGCTCAATGCCCTTCAGGGTCATTAATGCAGGATCTTAGAAAAGTAAAAGAGCCCCTGTCCAAACACGGTTAAATTCTAAGGCCCAGATCTTGCAAACACTTGTGCATTAACTCTACTATTGAGAGTTGTTGCTTTGATTTCAATGAGATTGCTGAAAGAAGTATAGTTAAATGTCTGTAAGTGTTTGCAGGATTGGGGTTTAAGAGAACAAAAGAATGTATTTGGTATGAAAGATATATAGCTGGGGGAGGAGGGGACAGAGCCAGCTGAGAACCCAACTGGCAAGTGAGTCAGCAAAGATTTTTCTGTCCATTTTGGTCCAAAAGAAGCATGGTCCAAAAAGAGACTGTTTTGTACCTGTAGAATGTAAACAATTTATAATGGGAAAAAACATGACTGCCAGATGAAGCAGACAACAGCAACTCTCAGCTCTTTTTTGTTCATTTTTTCAGTTTTGAACAGTAACTAGTCATTGAACTCAACTGAACAAACTGGTATTCTAATTAAACGAATTGTGTTAGTCTTGTGGTTCCATTATTGTTGCATAGAGCAAGAAAGTAGAGCAGCTGTTTATGGGCCACTAAAGAAATTGTTTACTAGGAAGGCAAATCTTTGCCTTTTTAAATTTAAAAGAAAAGAGAAGATTTAATAAACCACACTAACTTCCTGTTCAGAATATTGTCATTTATTCTCTCTTATGCACATGCACAGGCAGAGTTGTGAACACTGACAAAAGCAAACGTATCACACCAAACATCTGTAGCTTTGGAAAGACATCACAAATTAACCAAGGTTAAAAAACATCACCACCACGCCAACTAGCTCCTGATGCTTTTTTTTAATCCAGTTAGAATTTTTTTTAAAAAAAAAAAAGCCTAGAAGAAGCCTGGAAAGAAGCCTTTATATTTCATGATAAAAGGAACTCATGGTATATAAGAGATTTTTAATATCTGGCTTTTGTCATTTTTGCAATCTTATCAAAGAAGCAGAAAAATAAGGATTATATTCTATTGGCCACAATGCAAGTTCCACTCACCTACTGTCCCCAAGTCAAGCATTGGGAACAAGCTCCATTCAATGTCTACCAGAGACAGATATGATTTATTATTTCAAATTATTACAACTATATATACTGGACCAGATACTTGAAGTTGTCCAGAAGAGTTGACTAAGGCTATGTCTACACTAGCACTTATGTCAGAAAAACTTTTATTGCTCAGACATGAGGGGGAAAAACATCCTTTTATGTAACATAAATTTCACCAGCATAAGTAATATAGGTCGAACCTCTCTAATCTGGCATCCTCTGGACCTGACCAATGACAAACCACAGACTTTGCTGGACGACAGTTAGTCAATAATGTCTAGCAGCATTACCAACATGTCCACTGCTCACTGGGCTCTTAGAAGACACAAAGGTGTAAGTTAGAGGTAAAGAACAGCACAGAACACTGACAGCCATGTCTGGTGGCTGTAAACCAACTCCCACTCCCAACCTCTGTGGCTGGGGCTCAGTGGCGGCCCATCCATAGGCATGAACTAAGGCGGTCGCCTAGGGTGCCAAGTTAAACAGACGTTGAGGGGTTTAGAGGCAGGGGTGCCGATCGTGCACTTCGCCTAGGGCGCCAGTTGCCGACAGCTCGTCTAGGGCTGCTCCTGCTGGGGCTCTCTGGTCTGGCAATATCTGTGGGTCCAGGAAGACCATGGATGTTGCCAGACCAGAGTGTTCCAGGACAAAGAGGTACAACCTGTATTCTCTTCATAACAGAAACATTATCCACCATACCCACATATGCTACATTGCCTTGATAAGACATAACTGTTTGAAGTAGGGGGTCTTCATTCAGCATTAACCCTATCTTATTAGTTTAAACTCAACCCATTCTTGCAGCTATCTTGATAAAAGGCCTTGCGCAGAGAAGAGTTAATTCTATGTTCACTGAAGGACAAGCGTAGCGCTAGAAAGTGGTTTTTTAAATGTCTGAAACAAAATAGACTGAAAAGAATTAAACAAAGTATTAAACAAATAGACTGAAACGAAGAGGAAATGTGTCATTAAGAGCTCCTAAAATCTCGTATGCAGTCATTTCCATCTTTCCTACAAGTGACTCAGATCAAGAGCTTGAGGACAACTTCCTTATTCCACAGTCTGAAAGATTAGAGGCTTCTAATATATATTAAACAGTATGCAGAATCAACTCAGAGGACTATTTCCTCGAGGAACCAAAACTAACCCCTCCTCTGCCCAGTGTTCAAGCACTGGTTCCAGTCATCATTTGTTGGCTCCTACCCAGTGTTCCCTCTAAGCTGTGCAGGAGCACAGCTTCACAGGTGGTTAATCAGCCCCACCCAGTCAGAGGCTCAGGGCTCCATGCACAGAGCTTACTGACTGAGCAGGGTTGATTAATCACCTGTGAAGCTGTGCTGCCACACAGCTTAGTCATTATATAGTAGGAGCAACTTCCTTCTAAGTCAGGGCAGACATAAGAGGTTGTGGTCACCCTGCGCAGCCTCTCTGCATTTTAGTGGTGGATCAAAAAATCCTAAGTGCCCAAACAATTCCCATAATAACTTCTACCAAAAGAAACGTATTAGTGCTTTCAAGGGACCTGACCCAAGCTAAAGTGCCCAAACAATTCCCAAAATAACTTCTACCAAAAGAAACGTATCAGTGCTTTCAAGGGACCTGACCCAAGCTATTTGCAATCAGGAGGAATATTTCCACTCACTTCAGTGGCACTAGGTCTTTCTTCGCAGCAGGAAAATACACTACCCTAGATACTCAAGCTGTCAATAAAGAGTAGTAAAATCATTCAAATGAAGCATGTTAACTGCATTTCTACAAAAGGATAAAGAGGAAGAAGAAATGCTACGAAGCTCTTGGAAATTCACCTCTGAAATTCAAATAAATGGCACATTTTGTACCTTGAGATAGGGAAAGCTAGGATTCCTACCAACCTATCTTTACAAGTCATTTTTCAAGTCTTAAAACAAATCTATGGGGTCCACAGACATCAAAGTCTACACCAAACCTCTCACATTGCTCCAAAGAGCTGCCAAATCTCATCTCACTCCTAAGTCCTGATCCCTAATTCAAAGATGAAGTGTTAATTAAAGAGCTATTTTGATTTTGTACTTTCTGGCTTCTTTATAATACAAAGACCTCCTCTTTTTTTTTAATGTGAAGAACAAGGAGAAATCAAAAGTAGCAGATCTTCATCTCTGCCTCTTTGCGCATCTACAAAACTTTTGGACCAAAAAAAGATAGGGAATGTTGTGTCAGACTAAAAACTCAAGACATTGAAGATGGAAATAATCATTTTAGATACCCTTCAGTAACTCCACTCTGACTTCCCCTAAATCTCATTGAAACTTTTGTAATGCAAACAAATAACAGTTATTGTATATATTATGCATAGTGAAAAGCAACCGTAAGTTACCTGATACCACTTCTGCTGGTATAAATTTTATTTCTAAGAATATAATGGTCTAGCTAAGTATAACTTTGGAAAAAGTTTCTGACTAGATAAAGGATACACATTAACTTGGGGGAAGAATTAGATTACAAAATATGAATTCTGTAAAGTTTTCTAGCTAAAGTTCAGGGTTACCTCTCAGAAAATCACATACGTTCTATTTAAAAAAATTCTATAAACTTCTTTTTCCGGCTTAAAAAGCGAACTTCTTCCCAGTCTGTGTATTCTTGATAAGTGTGCAAACACCAGTTTTGTAGAATATTCTTAATACTAATGTGGCTGTCTCAGTGGAAAAAACAGACTATACATGCTGTCATAAGCAATGTACTGAAAACAAAACAAATGGAGATGTTTAAAAAAATAGCTGTAAAAAGAAGTAACATCAAAGTACAGTGAAGGATGGCATCCAAAACATAACATTGTCACAGCTACCGAACTGTGTCCTGAAGCTAACATATTTTCTATCACATATAAAGACTATTTAGTCAGTCGTCATATTTCTTACTCATTTTTTCCCCCCACTGTAAGTGTCAGTCTCAAATTTCCTTAATAAAACTAAGTACAACTGGTCTATTTACTTGCGGGTGTCAGTATTTTTTTTTTTTTTTTGTTATGATTGCAGTAACACATTCAGTTTCTCTCCTGCTGAGAAATTTTCCTCTGAGGTAAAACCTGGCACAGATACTTAATGCAACAATACTTTATTTTACCTTCCCAAATTGTAACAGCGGTGTAGTCTTCAGTGTTCAAAGGTATTTTTGAACAATATATATAAAAAAAACAGTGGTAAAGGTGCATGCAGTGAACTGTACCTCATACTCGCCACATTCAGAGGGTGTATCCTTGTGTATAGCCATCTGATACTTGGCAAATAAAGTAGCTGACTGGCTGAAGGATGATTTGAACTGTGGGTCTTCAGAGGAGACAGGTACTAACCTCACCTTCATAGCAAGGAAAATACAAGCAAAATATGTAACTGCATCTAATCAGATTATATGCTCCTGAAGGTAAGGCTAGTGGAAGATCTCCTCATAACCATTTCAAAGCCTCAGCCATTGACACCATATCTTACATGGGGTAAAGCAAGTATACCCCATAAAATTAAAGGATTATGATATTAAATTATGATAGATATTTTAAATTAGAATTTATAGCATGTCATACTCCAGGCACTAATTTATTCTGCCCTCTTATCCTTCAGTAGTACAAAATAAGCCATTTTATTTTAACTGAAAAGTTCACAGAGTGATTGAAAGGCTTCTTTTTAGAAGCATATCCCTAATACTTGCTACTTAAGCTTCCCCCACCATCCCATTCCCCTCCTTCCCCATTTTTGTTTAACTTCACAGAGATAATGTATCTGGCAAGTTTAACTATTGCATTAAGTCTGTTCATTATGTGAAATAGTGGCAACATGTAATTTAGCTAGAATGTATTGTTTTATTTCAAACTGTTTCAAATTGTAAGTAGCAAAGAGCTTTATACAAACTCCAGTAAACTCTGAACAGGCAATTTTTTGCATGTGATAATTATTGCACACACGTTTTGGTCCATATCATGCTTGCCTTCCTCATGTAAAGACTCACATTTAAGTCAACCATTTAAGTCAATCCTGTTCCCAATTTATCCTGGTGAAGAGATGACTATGTATTTGGTCATCATGTAAGTATCTGAAGGCATGTCTAGACTAAATGGCTCCGTCAACGGAGCCATGTAAATGAGTTTACTAGACATAGGAAAATAAAGTGGCGATTTAAATAATCACCGCTTCATTTACATCAAAATGGCCGCCATGCTGTGCCGATCAGCTATTTGGCGGCACAGCGGGGCAATCTGAACGTGCTGCAGTCCACAAGGGAAGCCTTTGTCGACTGCTCCGGTAAACCTCGTGAATTATTTAAATCGCCACTTCATTTTCCTATGTCTAGTAAACTCATCTACATGACTCCGTCGACGGAGCCATGTAGTCTAGACATACCCTGAGTGTTTCCAGTGGTCGCTTCTCCGGCTCCCCTGTGGCTTTATTGTATAGTTCTTCCAAATTTCTGAACCATGCCCATGATTTCCTTATTTTTCTGTCTGCAATAAGGTTAACATATTTGTGGCACCTACAGTAAGATATGAAAAACAACTTGCACTTCCAGGATGTTGGTTGGTTTAATTCACCATTCCCTTGATTTTACTTGCTTCCATTTCAGTTATATGTATATAATAGACATAAAGCCCACACTTGTTTCTCACAGAATCCATCCAAGACACATGAAATGGAGGGGAAGCTGAGGTTTTACATAAAATTATACTTGGCCTTCTGACCTGACTTATGGTTGGTTTATCAGGTGGGTCCTTGTGAATAGCCATCTGGTAACGTTTATAAACCTGGTAAGACTCCTGAAATGTGGCTTTGAACTGGCAACTTGGTGGAGATGATCTCACTACCCTCACCTTCAGAAAAAGTTAAAGACAGATTCATTATTCCAATATCACATAATTACATCTATACATAAAAGTTGGTGAAAGATATCACAAGCAGAGTATTTCTGACTTTCTGCAAAACAGATCGCAGTTAAAAGTCCAATAAATAAATGAGGTGTCAACCTTTCAATTTTTTTCAGGTATTAACTAACTAAAAAAATTCCATCATGTATCAGATAAATAAAGATTTTCTTTTATTCTCAGTGCATGAAACTTGAGTTTTTTTAAATAATTAATTTTAAAGGTAATTAAGCCTTAATATCAGAAATATGCAAATATTGGTGTGATGGGGTGTGCATACCCTGCACTAGAGCAGGAGTAAAAACCCTGTGGGCAGAGAAGTCCTGCCGCTTCAACCAGACCAGGTATGCTCCAAGTGCTGGGGCAGCATAAAAGGAGAAGCAGCTCAGACTGGGCTGGCCAGCAAAGGAGAAGGGCCTCCCCGAGCTTCTGAGCTGCAGCAGCCAGTGACCCAGGCAGCAAGAACCGAAGGACCAGGAGACTGCCGCTACACAGTCCCAGCAGAGACCTAATGAGAAGGCACTGCTAGGGAACTGGGAGACCTAGCTGCTATGTGGGATCCCGTCCCACCAGCACCGGCAGGAAGTGACACAGGGAGGGTACAGGAGCAGCCTTGCCTGCCCAGGTACACTCAGTGTGTTTTGGCTGGATTTCCAGCTGAGGTAGTGGTAGACTGATCTGCCACTCACAGGGCCCTGGGTCAGGACTGGCCCCCACGCCTACTGACTCTGGCCACTAGACCATACTGCCCTGAGACAAGGGCTTCCCACTAGGCTATGCTGCCCTGAGACAAAGGCTCTTAGACAAGGACTGACCATTAGGCCATACTGCCCTGGAGTAAGGGCTACTTATTCTATACTGCCCTAGGACAAGGGGCTACCTGCTGACTCTGGCTGTTAGGCTATATTGCTCTGAGACAAGGAGTACCTACTGAATTTTGCCCTTAGGCCATACTGCCCTGGAGTAAGGGCTACCCATGGACTCTGACCAGTAGACTGTACTGCCCTGAGAGAAGGGACAGCATTATTGACTTGAGCCACTAAGCTCCACTACCCTAGACTGCAGGTGGGTCTTTATGGACTATAGCAACCGCCAACAACCCTGCAGCCAACCAGGCGGCATACGCACCCCTGAACACCCTCAACTCCTGTGATGGGATGTGCATATACTGCCACAATTGGTCAACAGCTAATAAGCCAGTTAAGTCTTTTGAAAGATGCTAACTGATCTCCACAATATAAAAAAAAAAGTGCTTTTACTATAATCTCACATCATATGAAAAATGCGAGATGTACACAAGCCTTGGAAATATGGACGCTAGAGTTTTGGAGGGAGACCATTCTACTACTATGGTGATGAGAGTAAAACAGTTAGATCTCCTACTTAAAAGGAAAAGAAGAAACTAATCATACCATCATAGAAATGTAGGACTGAAAGAGATCTCTCCTGAATAGGTCATCCATTCTTGTCTTCTACACTGATACAGGACTAAATATTATTTAGACCACAGATTCTTAGCCTCTCTCTTTTTTGAGCTCCTCCCGCCCTCTTATCCCCCAATCCTCTCTGCAACATACTATAAAAACTTCACAGCCTAGCTGTGCCATAACAATTGTTTTTCTGCACATAAAAGTCAGGGCTGATGTTACAGAGAAGGAAGCAGAGCAACTGCTTAGGCTCTGGCTTCAGCCTGGGTGGCAGGACTCAGGGTCCTGAGCTTCAGCTTTCTACTGTGCGCCCTAATTAATCTGACACTAGAGGCCTACTTGGCAGCGCTCAGGAAGCCTACCAGCAGTTCTCCAGAGGCCCGCAGACACCTGGTTGACAACTGCTGATCTAGACCACCTGACAGTATTAGTCTAACCTTTTCTTAAAAGCCTCCAATGATGGAAATTCCACAGCTTCCATAAGTAATTTGTTCCTGTACCTAACAATCCTGAAAGTTACCAAGTTTTCATAAGGTCTAACCTAAATCTGCAATTTAAACCCATTACTTCTTGTGTCCTTATTTTGTTGCTCTTCTCTGACTTGCTCCAATTTGTCCACATCTTTCCCAAATTGTGATGCCCAGAACTGGACATAGTACTCTAGCTGAGGCCTTATTACTGCCAAATGGAAGAATTACTACTTGAGCCTTATTTACAAACATGCCTGCAAGTACATTCCAGAATGATGTTCACTTTTTCAGCAACAGTATTACGTTGTTGACTCATTTAGTTTGTGGTCCCAACTATAACCCTAGATCCTTTTCTGCAAGGGTATGTCTACACAGCAAAGTTATTTTGAAATAACAGCCCTTATTTTGAAATAACTTTCCTAGCGTCTACACAGCCAAACTGCTATTTCGAAATAAATTTGAAATAGCGGAGCACTTATTTTTGAATTTGGTAAACCTCATTCTATGAGGAAAAACGCCAAATTTGAAAGCTATTTCGAAATAAGTGCTGTGTAGACACTTATTTCGAAATAAGGGGCTTCCAGCCTTCCCAGGGTGCCCTGGTGGCCACTCTGGCCTCAACCAAGAACACTCCTCTTCTCCCCGACTCCCGGGAGCCCTTAGAGGGGTAGACTCTGGCCACAGTGCCTGTGCCAGCTCCAAGCTTACCAGCCCAGCGCCAGCAGTCATTGCCCCTGACCCAG